ACTGAGCCCGACCAAGCGCCTTTGTTAAGATATCTGCTACCTGCTCCGACGTCCTAATGTGATGAAGATTGATCAAACCACCTTTGACAGCATCCCGTACAGAGTGACAGTCATTTTCAATATGCTTTGTACGTTCATGGAAGACTGGGTTGTTGGCTATGTGAATAGCAGCTTTACTATCACAGAAAAACCGCGTAGGTGCAACCTGCTCGACATCCAAACCCTTTAACAACTTGCGAAGCCACTTAACCTCACGAAGACCAACAGCCATGCACCGATACTCAGCTTCAGCGGAAGAGTGAGAGACTGTTTTCTGCTTCTTAGTCTTCCAAGAAATAGGTGAATCTCCCAACATAACTACAAACGCACTGAGTGACCGTCTTGTTAACGGACAAGATGACCAGTCGGAATCACAGTAGATAGTAAGAGACAAGTCCGGACTAGCACTAAGAAAGATACCTTGTCCTACTGTCCCTTTCAAGAAACGAACAACTCGTAATGCAGCCTCCCAGTGAGCTTCCTTCGGCTTTTTCATAAACTGCGAGAGAAGATGCACACAATAACTCAACTCTGGTCGAGTGTGAGTAAGATAGATTAGACGCCCCATCAACCGTCGATACTTCTTTGGATCAGAGAGAACTGGACTCTCAACCGTGGCGAGATGATGATTCTGCTCCAGTGGAGTGGCTGCTGGTTTAGAACCGAGATTACCAGTGTCAGCAATAATGTCTAAGGCATATTTGCGCTGAGACAAAAACAATCCTTCAGGCCCTCGACTAACCTCAATGCCCAAAAAATACTTTAATGTACCTAAGTCTTTCATCGAAAAACACTTCCCCAAGTACTCTTTAAACTTCTGAATCATACGACTGTGGTTACCACATATAATCAGATCGTCCACATAGATCAACACACGAATCTCAACCCCACTGCGAGTGTACGAGAAGAGTGAATAGTCATCATAAGACTGCACAAAACCAAACTTAATCAACGCATCCGACAACTTCTTAAACCAACATCGAGGAGCCTGCTTTAGCCCATATAAAGACTTACGAAGGCGACACACTTTATTTGGATGTGAATGGCGAAAACCAGGTGGGAGCTGCATATATACTTCTTCTTCGAGATCTCCATGAAGAAATGCGTTATTGACATCCATTTGATACACTTCCCACTTCTTCGCAGCAACAAGCTTGAGTAACGTACGAATCGTAGTTAGTTTGACCACAGGAGCAAAGGTCTCTTTATAATCTTGACCTTCGACCTGTTTATTTCCACAACCAACTAAGCGAGCTTTATATCTTCTGATTGTACCATCCGCATCGTACTTAATCTTGAAAACCCACTGACTTCCAATAGCAGTTTTACCAGGCGGCAAGTCAGTAATATCCCATGTATACTGATCCTCAAGAGCAACAATCTCATCTGTCATTGCATCATCCCAAACCTTGATACCGACAGCTTCTTTAAAATGTCTTGGTTCTATAGCTGCTGTAATATTAGCTAAGAACACACGATGCTTGGGAGAGAAGTTAGAGTCAGAAATATAATTGGTCAAGGGATATAGTGAGTTACCTTGAACCGAGACCGAGGATTGAAAGAGAGGAACGATGGGAGCGTGATGGGTTTCAGATGACATGCCGACGAGAGCCTTAACTTCTGCATTGTAAGTGATATAATCGTGGAGTTTAACAGACGGCCTGCGAGAACGAAGACCACGACCAAGGGCTTCAGATGAGTCTGCTGAGACAACTTCAGAGACTGGGTTTTGTTCCACTACTTCTGCAGAAACAACTTCTGCAGGAACAGCAAGCTCAGGAGAGGGAAGAGGAACTGCCTCTGCAGGAACAGAGTCGCCAACCTCTTCTTCATTCTCAGAATCTTCAGACAATAAGACATTGTCAACAGGGCTAACTGGAGGCAACTGATCACTCCCCCTTGCTTGTACAGGCGAGGAGGCTAACCAATCTTCATCGACAGCCTCCCTAGGCGCTGCAAGTGACGGAATAGACGCACCACTGGCTGCATATGGAAAGACATCCTCACGAAAAACCACATCTCTAGAGACAAAGAACTCATTGCGATCCATGTCATAAACCTTATACCCCTTTTTACCAAAGGGATAACCAACAAACACACACGTACGGCTTCTTTCGCTAAACTTGTCCTTGTCACGAGCAAGACGATGAACATGACATGCTGAACCGAATACTCGTAACAAAGACATGTCTGGTTTGCTCCCATGAAGAACTTCATATGGCGAACGTCCCTTGAGAACAGCTGTAGGAGTACGATTAATGAGGTAAGCAGCAGTTAAAACTGCTTCTCCCCAAAACGAAACTGGCATGTTAGCCTGAAATAATAGAGCTCTAGACACGTTGAGAATGTGTCTATGCTTGCGTTCAACACGCCCATTTTGTTGCGGAGTGCCAACACAAGAAGTCTGATGAACTATGCCTTGCTCACGAAAATAACTAGACATGCACATAAACTCCGTTCCGTTATCACTACGAACCATCTTAACACTTTTACCAAACTGTTTTTCTGCATAAGCAAAGAAATTGAGGAGAACACGACGAACTTCTGATTTTTCGAGTAGTAGATACGTCCATACTGCGCGAGAGTGATCATCAACAATTGTTAAAAAATAGACCGCACCACAAGAGGATGGAACACGATACGGACCCCAAACATCAACATGGATCAATGAAAAACAATCATCTGATTTATTAGAACTGTCTGGAAAAACATCTCTAGTTTGTTTAGCACGAAAACACACATCACAAGAGCTAGAGCTAATAGTAGTAGAAGAAAACATAGGCAAAGCTGAAAGCACTGAAAAACTCGGATGTCCCAAACGCCGATGCCACAAAGTCTGATCAGTAGAAGCCGAAACAGTGTGAACCGTCGCAGTAGCCACATCCGTCAAGAAATAAACCCCATCACGCTCTTCACCGGTTCCAATCAGAGTCCTCGAGAAACGGTCCTGCAAAACACATATAGTATCAGTAAATGTAGCAAAACAACTCGTTTGTTTCAGTATTTTAGAGACTGAAATCAAGGTGCAATTCAGAGAAGGCACATATAGGACATTGTCCAAAGACACTTTTCCCGAAAGTGGGAAACTCCCCATACTGAGAGCAAACGTTTTGCTACCATCAGCAAAACCCACCGAGCATGGTGATATAGGTACTACGTTGGTCAACAATGAAAGCTGTCCTGTCATGTGATGAGACGCTCCAGTGTCGAGTATTACATCACCAAACTTGTTCTTACCAGAGAGTTTATCAGCACCTGACTTCTCTTGAATCAACTGAGACAGAACCTTCCATTGATCTTGAGTGAACTCAGGAAAGGCTGAAGCGTTTGAGCTTGTAGCATGAGCAGCAGACACCTGACCTCTTCCACGACCACTGCCATTACCAGAACTCCGTCCGCCTCTACCTCTTCCACGGCCTGAGACACCACGTTCGTTCCACCAATCTGGAAAACCATTCAACGACCAGCAATTTTTCTTATCATGACCAGTGCGTCCACAATGAGTGCATGCTGCTACACGATCTCTAGCACGAAGTACACTGTCATTCTTCGAGCTGTTTTGTTCTTCACTTCGAGAAGGGTCTTCACTTTGACGAGAAGCAAAGCCAACGGCTTCTTGTTGTTGCTCACGAACACGAGAAGCTGTCATCCTCTGCTCTTCTCTAATTACTTTCGAGTACACCTCTCCAATAGTTGGCAGCGGATCCATCCCAATGAGAGTTGTACACAGCCCTCCATAGCGTGAATCATCCAGACCCATTAAGAACTGATGAACTTTATCATCTTCTCTTTCTTTCGATATTTCTGCAGCAACACCACACGTACACATAGGCAACGGCCTATAGATCGCGTATTCTTCCCAAAGTGCACACAGCCGGCCATAATACTCTAGCACACTCTGACCTTCCTGACGACACGAAGCCAAGTGAGCCTTGAGCTGATGAATACGAACCTTGTTCCCCACCGAGAAACGCTGCTTCAACTCAGACCACAATTGACTAGCTTCCGATATGAACGACACCNACACATAGGCAACGGCCTATAGATCGCGTATTCTTCCCAAAGTGCACACAGCCGGCCATAATACTCTAGCACACTCTGACCTTCCTGACGACACGAAGCCAAGTGAGCCTTGAGCTGATGAATACGAACCTTGTTCCCCACCGAGAAACGCTGCTTCAACTCAGACCACAATTGACTAGCTTCCGATATGAACGACACCAATGACTTGACTTTGGAATCTATTGAAGATCGTATCCATCCTATGATCATTGAATTCACTGCTATCCAATTCTCATAATCTGGATCCTCCATCGAAGGTTTCTTCAAAGTTCCGTTTATGAAACCTGTCTTGCGCTTGGCCTGGAGAGCGTTGAGCATCTCGTTGGCCCACTGATTATAGTTTTCTCCAGTCAACATAACTGAAGTAATAACAGATCCAGGATTATCGGATCCATACAACTTATACGGTGAAGTAGCCATTAACTCGCCACCTCCAGTCTTCTTCACAATCGCAGAAGACTCTTCTGCTTTCTCTTCTTCTGACATCGTCACTGACGAACTTTGTTCTGATTTTGAACAAACGACAAGAACTCAATAATTTTGAATAACTTTTAGATTGATCGATGCTCTGATACCATGTAGAGAAAGATATCGAACACTTGTGTTTTATTCACATCGACAATTGCCGTATATATATATACATAACAGAGAACGTTAAACTCCCCATACAAATAGGAGATAACAACTACATCTATCATTATCTAATAATACATGTATATCCCAAATATGATTGTATTTATCTCCAATAGGACACTCTGGCGGATTCAGAGACCAAGAACCGAGACGTGGTTCTGAGACTGTATGACGCCCTGAGATCCCGCGACGTCGAATCGGTTCACCGGATCCTCACCCCGGATCTCGACTACTGGTTCCACGGCCCTCCGCCGCACCAGTTTTTGATGCGCACGCTCACCGGCGCGTCTCCTCCCTTCGATTTCGCGCCTCTCTCCGTCGTCTCCTTCGGATCCACCGTCATCGCCGAGGGCTGCGACGCCGCTACCTCCGTCTCGTGGATCCACGCCTGGACCGTGTCGCATGGGATAATCACTCAGGTGAGGGAGTACTCGAACACGTCTCTCACCGTCACGAGGATCGGTGACGTTGTCGCGGGAAGGTCTGCTGAGATTGCGAGGTCGCATTGCCCTTCCGTGTGGGAAAGTAAATTCTCGGGTCGGGCTGGTAAATCTGTACCGGGTCTGGTTCTGGCGATTTGAGGATTTGGTCAGTATTTAGTAAGGTAACAGCCACGTGGACTGATAACTAAATAAAGGTGATTACGTGTCGGTATCTGGTTGGTTTGTCGTATGTGAGGATTTGTGCGGTTGAAGACGCGGTGTGGTCGCGTTTTGGCTGTCGCTAGTTCTTCATTTGTTTTTTTTTTTTTTTTAATTTGCTGTTTTAGTGGGTACAACAAGCATGGGGATACCCAAATTGGCTTGTGCCGTTGTGTCTGATGTAACGTTTGGTAATGTTATAATTAAAATAAAAATGTGCGTTTGGGATCTTATAATATTCGTTCAACATTTTATAACATGACAAGTTCTGCATTTGTCGACAAATTAATATAAAAAGCTGCCCATTTGGCGAATGTTATCTTGAGTGGATAAGGGGTGACTTGTATAAATATAGCTTCACTTTGTTTGTTTTGAATATGAAAAACAAAAGTTTCCTGAAAATATTAGAACTAGTGTTTCTTAATTATATATGAGATCTTGGGTGAGTTTATGTACCTCCATTCTACATCAAACCAAAGCATAACAGTTTTAGAGGGATTTGATACATTCGAGACTTTAGAGTTCAGTCTATTTGATGCGTTGGAATAAGTATGAATATGAACCAAGTTTTCTGATTTGGGTTTTGAAAATTTGTTAAGACTTAAAACGACGTTTACTTTTTAATGTGATATTAAATGTAATCGTGGACGCAACGTAACAATAAAAAAGTTTAATTGTGAAAGAAAAAGTTTGAGAGGAAGCAACGAGGAAGGTCACTCGTGCGTCTTTTTTTCTGTGTAGACGTGGACACGCATTATCTCTCTTTTGGCGTCATTTGGTTAGAATAATGCGGCGATTGAACGATATTAACAGAACTACTAAAAACACTAATTAATTGGTACGTTAGCGTATTTCATATTCTTTATTTATTTTAATCATATGATGGAGTGACGCAAATATTAACATTCATTGAACTTAGATGTGTTTTCGATAATGTCTCATGCCCAAATATTCATTATACATTATATATAATTGCTTATGTTCTATTTATACAAATGATTTCTATCAATTTGTTGTAAAAGTCTGAAGATTATACAAGTGATCAAGTGCTTCCAAAGTAGACAAACCTCAAGTTACAAAAAAAGGAAGAGTCAACAATATACAATCTGATACTGATGTATGAAACACTAATCTACAGCTCATTTTCTAATCTTATTTTGAATAGAATCCTGTAAGAGACCAGCTACGATAAGTAGAAGTCTTCTCCAACGTAGATTGGACGTATCATCAGCGACTACAAATGCGAACATCGACATCAGCACCTTAACACTTTCACGTTCAGAGGTTGAAAAATGATATAGCTAATCTGTCCATCGATTAGTCGGATGTGTTTTGCTCAAATGTTAAGGTATTTGGTTAGTTGTTATGTTATGTGTATACGATACGCAATTATATAATCAGAAACTAACAATATACATTACATTTTTAAAATAATAAACTACAAATACTAACTAAAAAATAAAAGTTAGCTTGGAAGTTTTATAAGTCCATTTCTCCCACCAGCCGGTCTAATGACATCTACCGGTTTTCAATAAAACGAATTTTAGGCATACATTACTGAAGTCATATGACATATGAAAATTGGTTTCTACATGGATAAATTAGATTTGCAGGCAACTTCCACTATAATGATATTTGTGCTTATTTTAAAAGAGGTTGTCTAAGCATGTATTTCAGTCGTTTTATCCAAAAACAAACCAAATGTCATATACATATCATGTGATGATTCTTCTACGTTACAATATAGTGAGGTCGTATAAATATTTATAGGTTAACTAATGAGGTGTGTGTGTGGCCTTGGTGCACATAGAGAGACGTCTAGAAGAGGCAAGTATGGTGTCCCGGATATGTTTTTTCTTCATCCTCTGCTTGGAATACGGACCATACGAGAGTCCAATGATGATTGCAAACTCTCTCAAGGAGAACCTTATAGGATTGCCGGTGAACCGGAACCATGCTTCGTGCTTTTTCTTCACATTCAATTGCCTCGAGAGCAAGTACAGCGAAAATCTACCAGAAAATGCCAGCTTCTTAACCAAATCCACAATCTTTCCTAACAGTGACTCATGTATGCTATGTATCTCATCTTCATCTAACCAATTCCACAATCTCACCTACATGTTTTGGGTTAGTCTGTTCTTTGCGTATCCTCTTTTAGTATTCTCTTTCTTATTCAAAAAGAAGACATATAACAAGATGTTCAAAGTTTATGAAATCAGTTTGTATATAAACAGTGTTTATAAAATCCTTAAATCGAAACTTACAACACAAGTATATAAGAAACCATACAAGCATATTCAATTTTAAGCAGAGCTTAACAATAATGTGGATATATTCTGAAATGCAGGAAGATCTTATCTTACATTTATAATTATAACAAATTGTCAAGAACACCCAATAAAAAATTGCATTCTCATAAGATAAAATAGCAATTTCTATATCAGAGGAAAAAATATATATAGGTTGGATATCCATTTATTTTCTTTATTATAACATTTAGAGATGAATATAGCAATGAATTGAAGATTCTCTTACAAAACTAACTCAATGCAAGATTTGAATGAAACAAATATAGTCCAAAAAAAACATTGAAAGTATTACAAACATTTGATTTATTTAAACTTTTTATTATTTACACGTATTAATTTTTCTCGGAGAGAGAGCAAAGAACAAAAAACCCCTTAACTTTATCAACGATTCAGCCCTGACCAATTGACGTGATGGCCGTGCAACTGCAACGTCTCCCTGCATTACCCCCGTGATATTACCAAGAAACCCTTCTATACTTTCCAATTCAATATCAGAACACAAAACCCCAAAAGGGTATAATCGTCTCACACAAAAAAATCATTTCGCGCTTCATCAATTTTTTTTTTCTTTTTATCTCGGAAAAAAATTGCAGCTTTCCTACGGTTTCAGGCTACTACCAAATTTTTTTAACTCTTTCTCTGCGAAAATTTAAGAACCCTAATAAAACTTTACACATTCCTTTTCTCTCGTTTAAGGTAAGTAACCAAAACGTCTCTTAGCGTAACCTTCTCTGTTTATACGAGAAATCACTCTGTTTTCGAGATTTCTGTTTCTCGTAGTGTAAAGAAGCTCCGATTTTTTTTTTTTTTTTTTTAAGTGAGCGGTTTGCTAGAACTTGTGTGTGTGTTATGAGCTGAGATCAACGTTTTAGTGGTTCGAGAACCTCTAGGCTTTGAGTGTTTGTTAGCCTTTCTCTCAGATTGCAAATTAATTGCATGTGGTAAGGGTTTTTGGAACCGGTTAGCCGGTTTAGTGAATCGATTTCAGTAAAAAAGATTTTGATTCTTTTTTTTGTTGTTGTTGTTGTTTCAGGTGAGAAGCAATGGGTGCAGGGAGGAAGACGGAGACTTATACATTGGCTCCAGATAGCCTTAACTCGTATGGGAATTGGTGTGTGAGGAATCTTGAGAAGAAAGATCTCCGTGGAGTTATATTTGGATGCAAGTTCAGTACTATCAAAGAGTGTTACGCTAAGAAACTGTTTGGTTAGTTTTGGCTCTCTGTTAAAGTTATAATCTTTGAGGCTTGTTTGATCTTGAAAATTGGTTTTTGATTGTTTTGTGACGACCAGGTTTGCCAGCTCCTCACATGGCGTATATCAAGAACATTGATCCTGGTTTGACGCTGTTTCTGTTTAACTACAGTGATAGAACATTGCATGGTATCTTTGAAGCTGCTAGTGAAGGACAGTTGAATATTGATCCTAAAGCTTGGTCTCCTAATGGGACTGATCCAAGTCCTTACCCTGCTCAGGTTTGTACTGTTTTAGTATAGAACACTTTTGTTTAAGTTGATTCATTGAAAATGTAAATGATTTGTACACAGGTTAAGATACGAGTTAGAGTGAGGTGTGAGCCTTTGGCTGAAGAGAAGTTTAGTCCTGTGATTGCTGGTAACTACCAGGATGAGAAGGTGTTTTGGTTTGAGCTTGACAGAGATCAGACAAACAAGCTGCTCCGTTTGTTTTCACCATCTCCGAATGTAAGGGCACCGTCAGCTTCCAAGTATGTTGCACCACCGTCCAGGAAGGCTATTCCGGCATCTTCTCTTGTGGAGATAGGTGACTTGGGAGGACCACGTGTTGATAAGTGGAGCAGTCTTTTCAAGTCTTCAGATGAATCCAGTGAGAACAAAGGAGAAGCTCAGAAAGCAGTTGTGCCATCTGGTGCATCTTACTCATCAGCTCTGAGAAACGTGACTAAGTCTTCTTCAACTTCAACAAATGATGTTCCATTTGCTTCTCGAGCTCTCACTTCACACCAAGACAGTACCAAGAGAACTTCTGGTGCAGCTATACTTAGCAAGGAAGTTTCTGGTGAGGACACACATTCAGAGATCGACTGGGATGCTGCATCAAACTTTCAAGCTCATCTGGAAGGACTGAACAGGATTTTGGAGGAACCAAGGGATAAAGATGGGTTCAACAGTTTTCAGGGGAACACAGGATTTGCATCTTCATCTTCTATGGTGCCAAGTCATTGGGAAGATAGGATACCGCTCTCGGACTATGAGGAAGGGAATATAGATAAATCGCCTTGTGGGTCCTCTTATGTTTCCGCCATGACAGGAGATGCAGGTGAGGACAATGGAGATGGCAAAGAGAAGCAGCTTATGGATCTTTCCAAGATGGAAATGGGATCCCCACCCACTTACGTGGACATCTTGAGTGAGGTAAAGTTGATGGTCTTTCTTTGATCTCTGAATTATAAACACTGCTTGTTTATCCGTGACTCTTCACTAATTAAAACCGTTCCTCTGTGCTAGATATGGGCTGAAGTGAAAGAGTTGAAGCAAACTCAATTGAAACAAGCTGAGTATATGATTACTTTACAGATGGAGCTGGTAAGATAATAAACTCGTTAATTGTTACTTCCCTTTTTCTCATGAGCTTCAAATACCAATTCGCTTTTGTATTGCTGTTTGGGGTTTGTTGCAGCTTGAATCAAGAAAAGAGATACTTCGACTGAAAAGGACATAGAGAAGTTCCTAAAGCATATGGTAACACGACGAGACTTAGGGAGTTTGCAGTTTCCTCTGCATGACTTGCCTTTTTTTCTGATAAAACTGAAGAAACAAAAAGTTAGAATCTTTTGGGTACAAAATAATGTTTTAGTTTGTGGAGAAAAAACCTTGTAGGTTGGTTCTGAATCCTTTTGACTTGGTATGCTTTCAGTTTGAACTGTTAACTTTCAAGTAAGTATTGCTATCAAGCTTACCAAATAAAAAAAATATTGCTATCAAGGAGCAGAATGTTTTAGAGGTCAGATCAGAGCTGCTTAATAGTGGTTGTAATGGTGGCTTAACTTTTTCTACTGAAGGATATAAAAGCCGGATTAACGAGTCGGCCGGTTACATATTAACTAGGTCATTATTCTTTTAAATGGGCCGTTAATAGCTGAAGGCCCGAAGCCCAGAAACTATGCCATTTGTGTATGTTTATACACTTTGGTAAGGAACTAAAAGGATCCAATTGCTTAGCCGTATCGGGAGCGTGTTTTTGTGGTGAATATTAAGACACATGTCAATCAAGTGGAACATCTACGGTTCCTATCCGAATTTAAGTCAGTGACACGTCACTACTCTCTCGCAAAAATATCAGAATTATCCAGAGAGGCCTCTATAAATACCCCTCGACCCCTTGGACTCCAGGGCTATTTTACTTTTAGAAAAGTCGGAAAAAAAGAGACGCTAGAAAAAACGCGACACTCCGAAGAAGAATAAGACATATACAAAGTCACGATCGTTACGCGCGAGAACACATCAGCGAAAGTAGAAATCTATTTGTTGACTATTGAAGTTATCACTCCCATTAGGTATGTCGATTTTCTATTTTTCCTTTTTTTTGTTGATGAGGTTTAGCTAATTCGTTGATCTCACGCTCAGTGTCTCTTTTCTAGGGCTTTGATTTTACAGCTAAGAAGAAGATGGCAATTTATGAACAAAACGGAACGGTTACATCATCAAAGAAAAGAAAATCAAGGGCACGAGCAGACGGTACAACGGTGGCTGATAGACTAAAGAAGTGGAAAGAGTACAACGAGATTGTTGGTGCTTCGTCTACTACAAAAGAACGTAAAGTTCCCGCAAAAGGGTCTAAAAAAGGTTGTATGAAAGGTAAAGGAGGACCAGAGAACACTCACTGTAGTTTCAGAGGAGTTAGACAAAGAGTTTGGGGTAAATGGGTTGCAGAGATAAGAGAACCTAATAGAGTAAGTAGGCTTTGGCTTGGCACTTTCCCTACAGCTGAAGAAGCTGCTTTTGCTTATGATGAAGCTGCTAAAGTTATGTACGGTCCTTTGGCTCGCCTTAACTTCCCTCAACAGTGTGTTGCCTCTGAGGTGTGTAGTGTTGAGGATAAACCGGTTCTTGGTGGTGATGTTTGTGTTACACAAGATGATGCTGGTTCTGAATCTAGACCGGTTAGTCAGATCAGTGATAATAATAATACCAGGATGAGTTCGGATTTGCTGGATGAGTTTGATGAGGAGTATTGGGGCAGAGTATCAAAGGAGATAGAGGAAGAGTTGCTTAGTGTTGCGGATTATGGTTGGTCTAGTGATATGTTGAACGAGTGGGATCCGAATGAGGTTTTTGATGTTCATGAACTCCTAGGCGATCTAGATGATGGCATTATGTTAACTGGTCCCGGTGGTCCGGATGAAGACCAGAACCGGATATACGCTGGTGGTTATAACTCGCATGTTCCTCTTCAGGTCGAGCCACATGATGGTCACGAGCTTTTTGACTTGAGTTCTCGGGATCTTTGAGAGAGTTCCGACACATAATCTTTGGATTTGATCATATAGTAGAAACATTAAACGAGTGTTAACGATCTGATTTCGCAGTGAAATAAATTAAACTTAGCGGTCTTGTTTTGGATAATCATCTATTGAGCTTAAAGATCCAATCCATAACTAAACAGAAAAGAGTAACCATAATTTACAATTGCAGTTCTAAAAACGAATCTTTAAGTCCAAGGGGTCTATAAACATCTGATCTAAACCCAATTAAGAAGAATCTAGATCCTATTCCTCCCATATATCTAACCTTGCTTTCGTGCAAGCTACTTTATACTAAAAAAAGAACATGTAATTTCCATGTCGTGGATTCTGACTCGAAAAGAATGCATCTTTCTCATATGTTATGCTTTTTTTGTTTAGCGTACGAATTAAGGAAAACGAAGAATGACGTTATCTTATGTTCATATGCTATGCTTTTTATTTAATAAAATAAAATCGGAAGCCATCGTCGTCTTCTTCACCCGTTGACCTCTCAAAAATGCGAGACCTTCTTCGCGCCTATTTCTCACGAAGAACACTCGTCTCTCTCTACAATCTCTTCTTCACCCTCTCCCATAAGCTCCTCACTACATTCCCTCTCTCCCTCATCATGTCGAAACCAAACGACGTCGCAGAATCCGAATCCGATTCCGAAGCCGTCCCTTTACTCGATCTATCGAAACCGTCGACACCGATCTCCTTCCCGATTAAATCTCTCCAAGACCTAAAATCACGATCTTACTTCGACTCGTTCCACTTCCAATTCAGTCGCTCCACAGTCCCTCTCCGGGGAAACTTACCTAATAATAACCGTCCGAGGGTTTTAGTCTGCCACGATATGAAAGGAGGTTACGTTGACGACAAGTGGATCCAAGGGTGTGAAAACGACGCCGGATACGCGATTTGGCATTGGTATTTGATGGATGTGTTTGTTTACTTCTCACATTCGCTGGTGACTATTCCTCCTCCTTGTTGGACCAATACTGCTCATAGGCACGGCGTTAAGGTAAAAGATACATTAATTGATTTGGATGTGTAGAGTTCAGATTTGTAGTGATATGAATTGGAGTTAAGTGTTTACTTTTCTTGTGTGTTTATGGAAATGTTAAAAGGTGTTGGGGACTTTCATCACAGAATGGGATGAAGGGAAACTTACTTGCAAGGAGATGTTTGCTACTAAGGAGTCTGCTCATATGTATGCTGAGCGTTTGGCTGAGCTGTCTACTTCTCTTGGTTTTGATGGATGGTTGGTGAGTTTTGTTTATTATATGGTTGATGATTGTATCTGAAAATGGATTTTGTTTAATGTAAGGTGTTTACTTGCAGATTAATATAGAGAATGAAATAGATGAAGAACAGATTCCCAATTTGATGGAGTTTGTTAGCCATCTAACAAAGGTCTTGCATTTATCTACTCCTGGGGCTTTGGTTATATGGTGAGTTGGTGTTCACATGTTCTTTCTTTTGGTAAACGACTTTGAATCTGATCACTTTTGTTTTTGCAGGTATGATAGTGTAACTGTTTATGGAGATCTTGAATGGCAAGATCAGTTGAATGAGAAGAACAAACCTTTCTTTGACTTGTGTGATGGTATCTTCATGAACTATACTTGGAAGGTACCATTTTTGGTTTCCGGTTTGTGTTTCTTCTATATGCATTTGCCTGTTATTTGATTGGGTGATGATGTTTTAGGAGAGCTACCCCAAACTATCAGCTAAAGTTGCCGGGGACAGGAAATATGATGTCTACATGGGAATTGATGTCTTTGGTCGCGGCTCCTTTGGTGGTGGCCAATGGACTGTATGTCTCCGAAACTCTTTAGGAAACCAATAATTTTGTCATAGTTATTCATACATTGTCTCATTCATCTATATATGCTAGGTTAATACTGCTCTCGATTTGCTGAAGAGAAACAATGTATCAGCTGCCATTTTCGCTCCAGGATGGGTTTATGAGACTGCACAACCTCCTAATTTTCATACAGCTCAGAATAAGTACTACTTCTCTTTTTTTTTGCCTGTTTGATTGTAAAAGAAATTACCATTTCTTTTTCGTTATTAACGTTTATGCGTTTCCCTTTCAGTTGGTGGTCACTTGTTGAGAAGTCATGGGGAATAGTCCAAACATATCCGCAAGTCTTGCCATTTTACTCGGATTTTAATCAGGTAAACTGAGATTGATTTCGTCTTTCTATCTGTCTTGTTGCAATAACACAAGGGTAAGGTATGCATCGACTGACTTGAATATGATTTTTGTTCAGTTTTGTTCTGAAAATGTCCTTTCTCGTTTATTCAGGGCTTTGGTTGCCATGTTTCACTCGAGGGTCGCCAGTTATCTGATGCTCCATGGTACAACATTTCTTGCCAAAGTCTTCAGGTACAACCTTCTTATCGTCCTCGCTTTAAGTGCACATATAATATCGTCTCTCCTCTCATCTGATCGTTGTTTTTGTTGTGTTATTCACGTTAGCCACTCCTAGAGTTCAAGGAAGACGACACAGATATCATTCAGGTCACTGTTGAGTGAGTTCTGACCTCAATACTATAATTTTTTTTTTGACTTCTTGTTGATTAAGATGCATTTATTTGCAACGTATAACGGTTAGCACATGAATTTGGTTTAGTGCTCGAGAGGCATCTTATAACGGAGGAGGGAACATTGTATTTAGAGGAAGGCTCGATGGAGATGTGTACTTCACAGCAAGGCTCTTTAAACCTCTCCTTCACCTCTCTTCTTCTCCCATCACAATCTCCTACTCTGTTAAGTCCCTCTGCTTTTAGATACATCACATTATGTGATCTTGTTTCTCTTACTAATTGAGGACCTTGGAGTTGGTGCAGGTGAAATCAGATGAAACTTGTAAACTTGGACTCCTGCTTTCTTTCTCATCACCATCACACGAGACTAAATCCATACTTGTGGCGCCACAAGAACCAATCCTCAGATTAAATCACATATTCTTTAAATGCCTCAAGACATCAGAGCAAATTGTATCAGAGTGGACGGTACACGAGGCAAGCCTTGTCATGGATGGATACACACTGACCGAAATCTCTGCCTTTTGCTACAGAACAGAGAACTCGACAAAGACATCAGAGTACCTTGCATTGCTCGGTCACATCTCAATCAAAGATCATCATGTTCAGCTCCAGCAAAACCTGGTTTCCTTACCTCCAGCGTCATCATGGGTCATCGAGGCTCATAACATAGAGCTTGTACCGGGTAATTCCGGTTCTAAGATCCTCAGGGTTAAGCTAGAATGGAAACAGAAACAGCTTGAAGACTCTGTTCCCCGAGTGTACAATGTGTATGCAGAGAATGTGAAGTCAACTGATGTACTAAGACCGAGGAAGGTTTTGGAGAAACCGAGAAGCGAGAGAGTGTTCCTCGGAATCTGTCACGTACCGGCCTATTACGTTTCGGAACTGGTGGTGGAGTTGGACGTGAAAGTAGTTAACTTCGTGGTTCAACCGTGTAGTGAAGATGGTTCGTGGAGAAAGCTGGATGATTCCCCTAACCTTCTTGTGGACTTCGAACGTCTCTCTTTGGTTGCTTGAAACTGTAAAACGATTAATAAATGTATATTACAAAATTACATTAATTTAGAAAGTTGGGAAAAAACATTGTTTTTAATAACAGACCATCCTACCACTTCTTTAAAATATAACTAGCTTTTGACCCGCGCGTCCGCGCGGATGTATGTTCTATATAATTATATGTATGTGTTAGTTGTAAAAACATTTATATTTTATATTTCATAAGTTATTGAATTCTGATGTCGGTGTATCTTGTTTATTTTGTTTAATGTTTTTCTTAACTACTAGATTGTATTTTTTATATTGTATTTTTTATTTGGTAAACTAAACAATTAAGTATAAAATATTATAGTATCTTGTTTAAATTGTGTGTTTTATTAAACTATTTTATAAATTTTGTGATTGATATTATCATTTTAAATTAGATTTTATAGATATTTTTTTAAAATATCTAGCAATTTTATTAACAAAAACCTTTTTGTTAAATTGAATTGGGTAATTTGGTTTTAGGCAATTTGGTTTTGATTAAATATTAGTGGACTTTAAATTTTCATTAAGCCCATTTAGAATTAAATGTTTTAACTCCAATGGCATAAAATTGTAATTTTGGTGGAAAGCTAAGGGATATTTTTTATTTGTACTTCCCTTTTAATAGTTTAGATTAGAGAAATTGCAATCCATATACAAACATAAGAGCATGTGCATCCCAGGGGTGCTTAGTTTTTTTCTTTTTTCTTTATTTATTTATTTTTTTCGGACTGAAAAAAAAAAAAATTATAATAAGGACCAATCGCGGGCGGTCACGTGTCGTGGGGCCCGCGAAACAGAGCAAAAAAGAGCCAGAATTCGACGGTTATAAGGGAGTCACAAGCGCTGCTTTTTTGCTTTTTGGTGGACCCCCTCCTCTAAAACTTTCCCTAAGCGCCAGGGATGCACATGGTCTAAGTGCATATTTGCACGCATGGAAAAACTGCCTTTTGCTGATGTGTTTTTATTTAATGGCTATCTTACCCCTAAAATTCCTACAACACAGTTTATACTATTCAAACCTCTACACCTCGATCGATACATTTTTCTTTTTGAAACCAACCATTTCATCTCTCTCTCATTCTTTTTTTTTTCTCCGTCGCAACCACTACCATCTCTCATCTCTCTTAATCTATCTGATTTCTCCGTCGTAACCATCTTTATCTTCTTTAATTTCACATTTGCTTTCTTGATCAGTAATTTTCTCACATATCTCCGTCCCACCGTTGCGAGCACATCTCCGCCGCACTAGAGTATTGCCATGTCCGCCTCTTCTCTTCTCACTGCAGTGTCTACATCTTCTCTTCTCGCCGTCGTTACATCTCCCTCGTTCGATTGTTGGCACACGTGGTGGGGCTTAGGCCGAGAGGACTGAATCGAGTAAAACGGTCTTCAGTAAGCTATCAATTCGTCCATCTCGGGGGTGGATAGAGTGCTGCAGTTCGAGCATGATGAGTCTAGTGGTTGGGTCTTCTCAGTTTGATCGATGCAAGCTCACATAAGCTGAGGGAGTAGATCCCAT